TCCAAGTATTATGTCCAATGTCCAGTCCAGTCCAATAGCATAAAAATGGTTGGACATATGTCCAGTGCCAACACTGCGTATACGTATACTATATAATTATATATATATATATTATACTATATATATATAAATTACTACATACGATTAAAAAATAATGTTGTACGTACGTAAATTTGTCCAAATACAAATTTTTATAAAATTTTAGCAAAGATTCTTTATACGTAGTTTTACGATTAAATCCTGAGTCTGTGTTTAAGAACTAAGATTTGAATTCTGCTTTGTTGAGAACAGGTTTTTTATTATTTAATGCACTTTTCAAAGATCTAATTTACTATTATTAATATTATGGGCATCCGAACTTTTATTACAGATCAATATAATAAAATTTTGCGTATTCAAAAAGTATCAAACTCTATCGAAAGTTGTCCGAGACAACCTGTCTTTATCGTTTATTTGTTTTACTAATATTATTTTTTATATTTTTAAGAAACAGAGTATCCAACTCTGCAAACTAACATTTAATTAAATGCCGCGGCTAACGTGATTATCACGAATAAAATGTCCATAGTTCGAAGTTTCTGATTCCAGTCACTCAGGGTTAGCATTAGTCAATTCTGCAATTAGAAGATGTGTTTATAACTAAATAGAAACTAAAAATTCATCAGAATTGGTAAAATTGAAATTAAATTCGTCAAAATTTTTATTGCGACCCATTCATTATTGGAAAGATTGGGGCCGTGAATACCATTCTTTCAAGGTGATACGAGCTAACTTATTGCGGCACACCGACATGTTAGAAATGCACCAAGGCGTTAAGCGTAGAGCTTTTCTCAAACATAATTCTTTCATTAACAGTTAACTAGAACAATCTACGTACGTACAGTACTATTTAGCTGTTAGTTTATCGTTATTGTTTGTACGTATTAAATAAACTTGTGATAAAAAAAAAAAATTACAAATGAGGAAAAATAATTAATATTGTGTGGCTCAAAAATGAACAATTTATCTGTTATATATCCAATAACAAATAACTGATCTTCGTGTATGGCTAATTAAACTAAAAACGCATATGTTATTACTGTAAAACAATTTTATCGAATAGACTGTCCTACTTCACAGCAGAAGGGAAAGTGGCAAAATGAAGGGCCAAATGTTTTTAATGATATTTATTTTACTGGTACTTTTAGAATCATGTACTGCTTTATATTTCTATTTAGAGGGTACAGAACAAAAATGTTTTATTGAAGAATTACCAAGAGATACTCTAGTCGTTGGTTAGTATTTTTGATGTTATTTTGAGATGTATGAATTTTTTTTTTTAAGTATAAATAAATTAATTGTTTCTATTAATATTAGGTACTTATAAAGCTGAAGAATGGTCTGACACACAACAGGCGTATATTGAAAATCCAAATCTTGGTATTCAAATTACTGTAGAGGTGATTATTCCTTTTAAGTTGATTTCTAATATAAATTTTCCTACAGAAAAGTTGATATAATAATTGTCGATTAAACGTTAATGATTTAAAGGAATTACCTCATATCCATCGTATAATAAATCAAAAAGGACCGAGTCGTGGTCGGTTTACCTTTACAGCTGCCGAATCAGGGGATCATGCTATTTGTTTATCAACCAATTCAAGTTCTTGGTTTTCAAACAGTCAAACAGTGAGTGTGATCTATTTATTATTATTTTAGGTGAATTGTCGATTTCTAATCTATAAACAAAAAAAAAAAGAAATTGCATCTAGATATAGTTATTGGTGAATCAACAAGTGAGGAAGAAAATGACAAAGAACATTTTAGTGGTATGTTAATTATTTTCTCCCAATACGATTGTTATTATCAGGTTTTAATTATGTTTATATTATCATAATTTAGACCTCGCTCAAAGAGTTAGCGAATTGAATAATCGTATTGCAGATATTCGTAGAGAACAAAGCTACCAACGCGTATGTATAAATGCTTCAAATTTATATGATCATACATATATCTTTACTGTAGTTTGTATTATGATTCTCATTTTCATGTATTATAATAGGAACGTGAAGCAGAATTCCGTGATCAGTCTGAAATTACTAATTCACGGGTAGTATATTGGACTATAGTTCAATTAGCGGTTCTTGGGGTCACGTGTTTATGGCAGATGCGACATCTAAAAGGATTTTTTGAAGCTAAAAAACTTGTGTAAATTTTATGACGAATGTACCCAGATTCACAAATTATTAATTTTATAAAATGCTCTTTTGGTTAAACCATTTTAAATTAATCTTTATTTATTTCAAAATGATTGATCGGTAATACATATATATGAATAGCGTACATAAGTCAAAGTTAGATAATATACTAAATTAAATAATAGTACGCTTAATAGTTTTTTCACATAATGTCGCCCTTTCAATTATGACTTATGGGTTTAGGCATAGTTAACATCATTGGTACCTTCCATATTATAACCTTGTCCATCAACGTTATGAAAATCTATAAAGGAAAAAATAGATAAATATATTGTTTACTTTAAAAATTACGCGCAAAAAATTTATTAAACTGGTAAATACCCAAAATTTCTCTGTACATCATAACTTTCCAGTCGTCAATAGGAAGATCTGTGTCATCAAAAGACCAATCAAAAGCTTCATTTGCTACAGGTTCATCTGATTCATCATGGTAGGGTTCCAAATATTTATGTGCCAAGGCTTCTGGAGCAGTAATACGTTTTCTTGGATCAAATACAAGCATTCTTTCAAGTAAATCCAACGCTACATGGGAATTTAAAATAGACATGATGATTCAAATTTACTAAAGTTCAAATATATAGTTGTATGATTACCTTCAGGTTCTGCGTTGGTAAACTTTTGAGAAAATGGTACTTTTTCACGCTTCTGCAAAGATTGGACAAATCGTAGTGTCTAAATTACAATGAAAAAAAAAACAAGTTATTTTCAAAAGTCAAATATTGTAATGCCAAAGGAAAAAAACCCCGTACATTTTCGCTACCGATCGTTTGAATTACGTCATCTGATGGTGTGCCAAGTAGTTCAGTGATGATAGAGAATTGATGAACATCTATATGCAGAAAACTTTTAAGTCATATGACAATCAACAAACTATATTAATATTATAATATAATAAAAATTCTTACGGTCTTTGCCTGGAAATAATGGTCTACCCTCCAACATTTCTGCAAAAATACAACCTGCACTCCAGATATCAACTAATTTAAAAGACTTTTGATTATTACTTTTTGACTAGCATAGATTCACTTCAAAAACATTCTAATATACATAATGTTGTTAATTACCTGCTACATCATATTTTTGCCATGTAAGCATAATTTCTGGTGCTCTATAGTATCTCGTCGAGACATATCCTGTCATTTGAGGATCTTGAACACGAGCTAAACCAAAATCACAGATCTACATATATAAATGTGATTTTAAGTTAGTATACTTAAACAAACCAATAAAATAAAATAAAATAAAATAAATAGTATATATGTACCTTCAAATCACAATTTTCATTAACTAAAATATTGCTAGGTTTCTATAAAAGTAATTTATTCTAACAAATTAATAAAAAAAAAGAAATGTTTGAAGAGGATTATAATGATAAAAAAAAAAAAAATTTAACAACAAACCAAGTCTCTGTGTACAACACCAGCAGAATGTACATATTTCAAGCCTCTCTATTATAAATTTTCCATTAATAAAGATATCTTTATTAATGAATAAGTATGGTACGATTTTCTCACCAAAATTTGATATAAAAAGTATTGAATAAATTGCTTCTCTAACGGACGAGATGTTAATAGTCGATGTAAATCAGTTCCTAACAACTCAGTAACGAAATATCTAAGAATAAAAAAAAAGATAAGATTTATGAAAATTTAAAGTAAAGGAAATGTTGTAACATACATATCCTCTAATGGTGAGATAAAAATATCACTCAAACTAATAATCTGACAATAAAAAATATTGTTACTGGGTTGAACTTGAATAAGAAAAGAAAGTGGGAATGAATACATTTTCATGCTTCAAATGTTTCAAAAGTTTTAGTTCTCGATATGTTCTTTTGGAAAGAACAGGTGTACTAAATGGTTTCAAAATCTTTTTAATCGCGACATTGACCCCAGTCAACTGGTCTTTTGCAGAGCTAAAAAAAGCGTATATTTTAATTTTTTAGTGTTAATTGCGCGTCAGTATTTTGTAAAAAAGTCTTGAAGAGCTCTCACCAGACCAAACCGAAGGCTCCCATTCCAACGGGTTGAAGGTCTACATATCTATGTTCAAACGTAACTTTATTAGTGATACTTATAAGTATAAAACCAACTTTTACTGCAAAAAAAAATATAATAATCGAATACCTTGTTGTAACTTCGAATACGGTTCCAAAGATTGATAGCTTTACAAAGTCCGCCATTTAGAAAGTTAAAGAAAATGAATTTGTACGTAATTTTTACGAGATAAATAAGCTTTTAAGTCAAAATTGTACATGTTTGGAAAAATCGCTTAGTATAGTGTATTACAAATGAGGTCATCTAACTAGATTTGGTGATAATTCAAATACTCAAAGAAGGACCCGGGTAAAATTTTAGCGTTAAAAACGTTAAAGATTTATTTTAATAATAAAATATGGATATTGAAGAGCCTATAAAGGAACAAGGATCTACTTTTTCTCTTGATAGTATCCTTTATCGTATATAGTTAATTATTGCATACGCAAAATGTTACTTCCTTGACGCAATTTTACGTTCAGTTCTGGCTCTTACAAATGAAGCTCGAAATACTTATGGTCTTCGACATCAGGATTATTCGCGTTATAGGTATAATAAAGATATATCTATATATTTTTTTCCAAAGAATTAATGTGTTTTTTATTTGAAAATTAGACAATATTGCGCGAAAAGGGTCCATCGTCTTCGTGAGTCAGTGAATTTTGTTCACAGTAAAGGTAGTAGATTCAATCAGGCAAGAGAGGTAACCGAAGCAGATCTTAATGACGTAAGGTAATTGTAATATACTATCCATTTTGGAGAAAAATTATTTATAATTATACATATTTAGTATCTTAACATTACAATATTCACAGGTTCTTGCATATTGTATTATTTGACGTTGAACGTGCTTGGAGTTATGCAATGGAATTGAAAAGAGAGTCCAGATCTAGTGGTGATACGCGTAAAAAGCATCATTTAATTAAAAAATTAAAAAAAGCGGCAAAATTAGGTGAAAAATTAGAAAATTTATGTTCACGAGAAGCTGGTAAAGTTGATACTCGGACCGTTTTGGAAGCTCAGGTTAGTTTCGTTCAATGTTAAAACATGCTTATTTTTTGATCGATTGGTGATTTTTGAACGTTGAAAGATTATTTTTTAAGGCATATTCTGCTTTGATGTCTGGCTACCTGTTGTTCGAGAAACAATCATGGCAAGCTGCCTTAGATAAATTTGCTGCTGCAAGGTACATTTATTTCTTATTACTTATTAATTTCATAATTTTTTTATACATAAAATAAATCTAATTATTTCCTATGTGTATTTTCTCATAGGACGATATATGAAAAATTGTCCGCTGCAGGAACTGCCCATCAAGAAACACTTTGTCAATCAGCCATTGATGATATTGATCCTAATATCCGTTACTGTGCCTACGTACTACGGTTGGGTGCTGATAATGTCTCTGATGTGGAAGCTCTCGTAAAAATGACTATCGGAAAAAATAAAGGTGTCGGTTTGGACTTATTAGAAGCAGAAGTGGAGGTATTTGACATTTTTAATAACTCTATAAACTTTTACAATATTATGCATAATAAAGTCTTGTTAGTCTGTCTTAGCTCAAACTCGTCAAGAAAAGGCTGCATCACTTACATCCATAACTTGGCGAGGTCACACCGTCCCACTTAGAAATGCGGATTTAGCGATTTGCATTTTGAAAGCACAAGATGCAACAACAAATTTAGAAAACGCTTCTGATGCAGATGTAGAAGAAGCGACAAAAATGGAAATGTTTGATTCTCTTCTTGAGGCTTATGGAGATGCAGAAAGGTTCGCTAAGAATGCCGTGAAAGAAGATATGGTAAAAGATAATACTTATGTTGATTTTATATACTCACATTGATTAATCATTACTTTTTACCTTTATAGGAAGCGACTGCAAAAGTCAAATCTTCCAAATCGGATCAAATTTCCACAGATCTCAATTTCGTTTATAATTATGTAGCATATAACTATTTGAGCCGTAGAATTCAACGGAACTTGATGCTTGTTGATTCACTTCGGCATAAATTAGGACAAGAGCATTCGGAAGGTGCTCGATTTATTGGTGGAAAATATCAAGATATTGTCAAATTGTATGATAACGTATTACAGGCAATTGTCTAATTATTCTTATTATTATTCTTATTATAAATCTTATTATTATTCTTTATTATTATTATTATTATTATTATTATTATTATTATTATTATTATTATTATTATTATTATTATTATTAT